TTTGGGTTTTCATTCATTCATTGTTGCACTGTTTTCTCTACCCTCCTCCCCAGTTCATTCTTCTTCCCCTCCCCCAAATGTCTGTTTTAATTGTCCAATTGCCACAGTGCTTGTTCAAGAGTCCCTTGTTTTTCAATGCAGTGTAGTATTCCATTGTGTGAATATACTAGAACTTCTCTATCCATTCATTTGTTGATGGACACTTAGGTTGTTTCCAACACTTTGCTATTGTGAACAAAGCTGCGATAAACATGAGTATGCATATATCTATTTGGATGGTGGTTATGGTTTCTTTGTGGTATATTTCCAGTAGTGGAATTGCTGGGTCAAATGGTATCTCTATTTGCAATTTTTTGAGAAAGTGCCATACAGCCTTCCATAGTGGTGGCACCATTTTACACTCCCACCAACAGTGAATAAGGTTTCCAGTTTCTCCACAACCTTGCCAGCATTTGTTGTTTGCTCTTCTGTTAAATTTTGCTATTCTGACTGGGGTGAGATGATATCTCACAGTTGTTTTGATTTGCATCTCTCTTACAGTTAGAGATACTGAACATTTCTTCACATGTTTGTTGGCCATCTAAATGTCTTCATTGGTGAGGTGTTTATTCATATCCTGTGACTATTTTTCAGTTGGGTTATTTACGTTTATCTTTTTGTGGTGCTTGAGTATTTTATAAATTTTAGATATAAGTCCCTTGTCTGACATGTCATTATCAAATATTTTCCCCCGATCTGTGGCTTCCCTTTTCACCCTGCTGGAGAAGTTTTTGGATGGGCATAAGAATTTTATTCTTAGAAGGTCCCATTCATTTATTTTATCCTCTCCTGGTTGCAGATTTTCCTGGATGCTTGGAAGACTGTTTATGTTGTGAATTAGGACTTCTAGGGTTCTTTGAAACTTTTCTTCAATGAAGTTTATAATTCTTGGTTTTAGTCCTAGGTCCATGATCCACCTTGAGTTGGTTTTTGTATATAGAGTGAGATGTGGATCTTGCTTGAGTATTCTGCAGATAGTTTTCCAATTTTGCCAACACTACTTGTTAAAATACTTTGGACATGTTGTGAGGAGATACTGGTCCTTGGAGAAGGACATCATGCTTGGGAGGGTGGAGGGACAGTGCAGGAGGGGAAGGGTCTCTATGAGGTGGATTGATTCAGTGACTGGGATAATCGGGATGGGAGTGTCAGAGACAGTGCGATTAGCACAGTACAGAGCAGAGTTTAGGTCTGTTGTACGTAGTGTCGCTATGAGTCACAAGCGACTTGATGGCACATAACAACAATAACATTTGTAAAAAGACTGTCGTTTCCCCACTTGACTGATTTCATTTCCTTGTCAAAAATCAATTGACCATAGGTAGATAGGCTGATTTCGAAATTCTCTATTCTATTCTATTCTATTCTATTCTATTCTATTCTATTGATCTATGTGTCTGTCATTGTACCAGTACTAAGCTGTCTTGACCACCATGGCAAGGTAGTAGGATTTGAAATCAGGGAGAGAGATGCCTCCTACCTTATTTCTCTTTTAAGCAATGCTTTGCTTATTTAGGGCCTTTTTCCATTCCAAATGAAATTGGAGATAGCCTTTTCCATCTCATTGAAGAATAGAATTGGTATTTGTATTGAATGTGTAAATTGCCTTTGGTTGTATTGCCATTTTCACAATATTGAGTCTTCCTACCCATGAAGAAGGGATATTCTTCCACTTCTCCAGGTCTCGTTTTGTTTCTTATAGTAGTGTTTTGTAATTTTCTTTGAGTAGGTCATTTGTGCTTCTGGTTAGATTTCCCCCAGGTATTTAATCTTGTGATTAGCAATTGTGAAGGGTATTGTTTTTCTATGCTCCAGTTCTGTTTTCTTTTTGTCATTGTAGAGAAATCCAATTGATTTTTGTATGTTGATCTTGTATCCTGCCATTTTGCTAAATTGGTCAACTATGTCCAGTAGTTTTCTTGCTGAGTCTTTAGGGTTTTCTAAGTATACTATCATATCATTTGCGTACAGAGATAATTTTACTTCCTCTTTGCCAATTTGGATATCTCCCATATCCTTGTCTTGTTTTATTGCTACTGCCAATACAATATTGAATAAGAGAGGTGATAGTGGGCATCTTTGCCTAGTTCCTGTTCTCAAGGGGAATGTCTTTAATCTCTCTCCGTTGAGAACAATGTTGACTCCCAGGTTTGCATATATACTTTTTACTCTGTTGAAGAAATTCCCCTCTAATCCTATTTTGTTGAGTGTTTTAATCAGGAAAGGGTGCTGAATTTTGTTAAAGGCCTTTTCCGCATCAATTGATAAGATCATGTAGTTCTTGTTCTTAGCTTTGTTAATGTGATGAATTAAACTGATTGTTTTTCTTATGTTGAACCATCCTTTTATGAATCCTACTTGGTCATGATGAATTATTTTTTTTTTATGTGTTGTTGGATTCTATTGGTCAGGATTTTATTCAGGATTTTTGTATCTATGTTCATAAGAGATATTGGCCTATAGTTTTCTATTTTGGTAGTGTCTTTACCTGACTTTATATAAAGGATATATTTGCTTCATAGAATGAGTCAGGGAGAATTCCATCTTTTTCTATTTCCTGAAATAATTTATGTAGAATTGGGGACAGTTCCTCTCTGAATGTTTGATAAAATCCACTTGTAAAACCAAGGGCTTTTTTTCTTTTCGTTGGAAGTTGTTTTATTACTTTTTCAATTTCTTCTTTTGTAATGGGTCTGTTTAGGTGTTCAATTTTGGTTTGTTGTCAGTTTAGGTAGGTTGTGAATTTCTAAGTATTTGTCCATTTCCTCTATGTTTTCATATTTGTTTGAGTATAGTTTTTCATAATATTCCAATGATAGCTTTTTATTTTCGTTTGTTCTTTTGTGATGTTGCCTGTTTCATCTTTTATTTGGATTATTTATGTCTTTTCCTTCCTTTCTTTTTTTAGTTGTGCTAAATCTCTGTTATTCTTAATGAATTCCATTGTTCCAATCACTATGTCTGTCCATCTCACTGAGGGACATCCTCTTTTTCATTAACCCTTCATTTTTCAAGCATGATATCCTTCTTCAGGGAAGCGCCTCTCCAGATAATATGATGAAATTCCATGAGAAGTCTCATAATTCTTGCTTCTAAGCGCACTCTGAATGCACTTTATCCAAGAAAGGTTTGTTCTTTGTCAGTCCATGAAATTCACTACTATTCAAAGACAATGATTCCTCTTCAGTCTTCCTTTTTCACTATTCAAACTTCAAATGCTTATAAAGCAATTGGAAAGACCATGGTTTGGGCCAGGTGCCCATTAGTCTTTAAAATGATGTACTTACACTTTAAAGTTGCCTTGGCAAAAGATTTGTCCAACGCAAAAAGTAATTTAACTCTTGACTACTACCT